GGGACGGGGGTTCTAGGGGGGATGGGAGAGCAGGGGGGGTTGGGAGGGCTGGCAGGAGTCCCCCCATGGTCCCCTTCCCCAGCCCCTGCTCCCCTGCCTCTAGTACTTACCAGTTCGGAGTCAGCTGCAGCTCCCTGCTGCAGCCAGTGGGGACCGCCCGAATCAGCAAAGCTCTCCAGATCTTTTCTGCAGATTCAGAAAGCTTTGAATTGATCTGGACCTTTAAATTAGTCCCCTGATTCAATTCAGAGATTCAGCCACCTAATTGGGCCAAATCTCCTCTGAACTGAATCACCCCCAAAACTTTGCACAGCCCTACCTTATTGCCAGTTTGTTTTACTCACCATTTGAAACATAGCTCTCTCCATCTTCCAGATCCATATCTCTGTTCTTCTTGAAGATGTAGTAGCAGTATTTATATATGTTAAAAACTATTTGTCCCTGAGAAACAACATGTTGATTTTAAGCTTGGAATAAATTTGTGTGTTAAAATGCAGAAAAGGTTTGGATAGAAACACTGACAGGTTTATAATCATGTGGCATAATGATACCATGTTTTCTAGTTCTTCTTAATCGGGCCTTTTTTTTTTCTTTCAGTCAATCCCTTACTCTCCTCTACTTGCACATGTATCTTTGAAGCTCAGCTATTTACTTTGACTTAGTCACTTTCAGCACTAATTTCAAGTCTAGTCAGAATTCCTTCCAAGCCTAATTGCCCATTGGGCTCCTTTTGTTCAGGTGTACTGGTTTCTGTAGCCGGTGGTACACAAGGAAGCAATATGGCTGGCATTGCATCCAGCCTTCTTTGCCTCTCTAGCCTAAATGAATAGGCACCCATATACAGCTGGGTCAGTCTTTTGCCATGAGTCCACAGCAGGGCTTGATCACATACTTCCAGAGCCTCAGCAACATAACTGCTGTGTCATTGTGCACCCCCTGTACTAACTAAGGTTTTTTTTTTACCTGGGGAAATAGCCCAGAATAGCTAGTGGGCACTAAATCTCTGTGGGTGCGTATACATAAGACTCTAACCATGTAGTAGTCTAATAACACTGTTCAGTAGCATGCCAGGCAAAAACTGTGAGAATGTGCTCATGCGCAGTAGTATCAGACTACTACACAGTAAGCATCACTAAAAACCCATGTGCCAGTGCAACTGTGCGGTACCACAAGTTACTGCACATTAATTTAGTACTTTCATCTACTTAGCAGTTTCATCTACTTTGGAAGCTAAACTGCAAAAAAGACCCTTTGAGGGTATGTCTAAGTTGCAGTCGATGGGCATGTACGTAGACATATCACAACTAACTTTAAAATAGCTATCTCAGGTCCTGATAGCAGTGTAACCACAGAAGCTTGGACAAACTACCCAAGTATTTAACCAGTGTCTTGGGTAGATTTTACACATGGTGGGTGCATAAACATGTGTATTTTACTGTGGAGATGACTACTTAGATCTGCAGTAGAGCATCACATTCTACATGTGCGCCAATTTAAGGTGCAGTAAATTAATTAACTCCATAAGTACTATCTTGCAGAAGAGTGCTTAACTGTGCTGAAATGCACATGCAGACAGGGACAGGGGCTGGCTGGGGCATTATGGTGCTAAAGCGCAGTGGCTGCCTACCACCTAGCCCCGCATTTTAGCACCGTCATGCCCCAGCCAGCCCCTCTGCTGCTCAATGCTGCCACCCAGAACCTGGGGCTGATCCCCCGTATCCTCTGCCAGCCTGGGGCTGCTCTGCCACAGCTCACGTTCTGCGGTCCCAGGCATACGTGTAGATGCTGCACCCAGGAGCAGCTGACTCTGGTGCAAACTGTGCCGAAGTTTATCATGTTACATTAATTGCACTATTGCTGTGACTATACTAGTGGCAGTATCTGGCCTATTTAAAAAAAAAAAAACAATGTCGGGTGTGTCTGTGCAAGCTGTGATCACACACCTACACCTTTGGGTGGCAGTGCTGGCATACTCTGAGTGTGAGATAAGAATGTCCACATAGGTAGTTAGTGCAGAATGGCTATTTTATTTTAAATTTACCCCCTAGCTTATTCTGCAATAACTTCCCTCTCTGGAAAAGCTCCTGTTGGTAAGCTGAGGGTTGGAAACCAGTACCTTGGAAACCAGAAGAGCTATTCACAAAAGTGAAATAGCAGGAGGAGAGGAGCTATGCAAGGCTTGTGCCTCACTTGATTTTCATTCCAGTCCCTATTTTGAGGGCTTACATGGAATGTAAGCAGGGCACGAGCCATGTCCTGGTCCTCTGCACAGGTGGGATTTTATTCTATATGGAAACAGCTCTGCCTGTTTCCAAGGGACTGAGCCTCAGCTAGTGGAAATGATTATCAAACTGTTGACTTCAGTGGAATTATGATACTTTGTAGCAGCTGGGGATTTTTTCCCCAAATATGAACTTCTCACTAGCAGAAAATTTATCACCACCAATTATGTGCATCCTTTTAGAGAAATTGGAAAGCAGGCCTATGCTTACAGAATTTTTATACCTGTCAAAAAGTTTCAATTTGGATGTGAATTTTTCTACTTAAATAGTAAAATCAGCATAAACTTAATGTGAGAATATTGATAAAAATGCAGCTTATCCTTGTATACTTTATCTCCCTCCATGTACAGAAATAGCTATCTCAATCTGATACATTTATACTGAAATAACTTTGCCTTACAAGCAGGATAAAAGTGGTTTTGGTTAGATGTACTATAACCCTGCCTGTACAAACAGGATATAAGTATAATATTGTTAATTTAATACAGTTTGTGAATTGCTGAAAGCTGTTTTATTTTGCAGTAAGACTAACCATATTTCCTATATCCAGTGAAGCTAACTTAGTAGGATGGAGTATATAGCCATGATGGTCTGAGGAATATGCAAGAAGGAAAGTTTCTTTGGTCATATCTTTGACTGAACCCACAGTATAGTTAGGAGAGATGCCAGATAAAGCTTGGGGCATAAAATGCCCTTCCTCAGGTCTGCAAATGACATTACTAAACAGATCTTGCTGAAATCAGTGGAAAGACTTGTTTTGATTTGATGCAGTTATGTTTCCAATGGGCCTTACTGGTAATAATCATCATTACTGGACTTTTATCATCACTGCACATAATGCTTGCAGTAGCTTATGAAAGATGCTGAAACACTTATGACAAGCATAAAAGCCAGAATAGCATTAAAAGATGAAGAATGTTGAATAGTTGGTCAGATGTTTACTGATTTTTTTGCAGAAAGCAACTTCCTAAATGAGGTCATCCCATATTAGCGAAAGGAAAAACAGCACAATAAAAAGAATTTGGTAGAGTTCACAGGGTGAGATTCCTAGCCATTGTGCAGATGAGGATTTGTGAATATATCAGAGTCAGGCAGCTGTGATGCTCCAGCTGTTTCATATGGTTTTTACTTCAGAGGGTGCTGTTTCTCTGATCAGCTGTGCAGGTCTGCTCCAGCTGGGTGAAAAATCAGTGTCCTTTGAAGTTAAGAGTTGAATTGTAACATATTATGTACTGACTTTGGATGAGGCATCTCCATGGACAGTTATTTGAATCTCTCAACTGATTTCACACATCAAAAACACTCAGGACATCATTTCATTGACTGTAAACTACATGGGTTTTTCACTATTATAGACCTCAAAGAAGAATCAGATCAATACTATCACCAGCCGGGAGATGTGTGGCCTGATTTGGAGACATTTAAGAAGATACCTTTTGACTACACCATTCACGATCCAAAATATGAAGATGCAAGTCTGATTTGTACAAAGCTGCAGAACTTAAGCAGCGAAGGTCAGAATTTAAAATGCATTTATTTATTTACTTATTTTCACTACTGTCCTGCTGAAGCAAATGGCAAAACTTCCATTGACTTCAAAGGGATCAGGTGTGGAAGAGAAGTCATTTTTCATTGGTAAGGCCCTGATCCTACAAACATTTGTTTAGCCAAGTCACTTTGCTCATTTGTACTGTTATGTTTCAGTGAGATCATTCATGTGGGTAAACTTATTGATGTGTTTGAGTGCTTTGGGGATTGGATTCATAGTCACCATGGTCCCATGTAGTCCATTTGATGGCTCTTTTCTGGGCTGTGAGAAAAGAGGTCTCAGTTTAGGCCCAAGCAGTTGAGTGTCCACAATGTAAAAGAGTCACTGTATCCCTTAACTCCATCTCAGTCAATCCTTAGTCCCCCTGGAGAGTAAATGACAGGGGTAATAGTTTTTGCAACAGGAGTTTTTGCAATGTAGATATCTGCCAACAAAGGACTACACCAAACCTGCTAACCCCATTTCTCATCGGTTCTCTGGCATCAGTCACAGGAAAACAGTGTCCTGCCGAACCTGAGATAGATTTACATCTGTGGGTTCAAAGTGAAAAGCTTCCTCTCATCAGTTATTAAATTAAATTGGGCTGCTCTCTTGCCCAAATACGTGAGTAACTGTGGATGTTGTGCATGTGTTAGTGGACAGACCCCCCCCCCCCCTTTAGCATCTGTGTGGTACTATTTTCCCCATTTTACAGTTCTGGAACTGAGGCACGGAGGGCCAGATTTACAAAGGGATTAGGGTGCTAAAGAGGCAGAGAGGCATCCAGTGGGATTTTCAAAAGTGCCTAAGCAAGTTGGGTGCATAATGCACATTACTCTGGGAGTTAAGCCCCTAATGGGCTGGAGTGCTTCTGTAAATCCCTCAGGGCCTCTGTCTTAATCTTTACTTGTGAAGACATTTATAAATCTGGCCCAGAGAGAGACCAGTTTACTCTAAAGTGGCCTCTGTTTTTGGTACCTTTTTTTGAGGGGCACATTCTGAGGCTCTTCCAGACTTTTCAGGTGGAGCTGTGGGTGCTTTAGCATTTGTGGAAATCAGGCACAATCTGGGCTTTTTAAAAACAGGAGACCTAAAGTGACTTGCCCAGTGTCATAAGGAAATCTGTGACAGAGCCAGTGTCACAGTTCACAGCAGAAATCACCACACCATCCTTCTGTGATACATCCACTAGTAATCCTCCCAAGCCATCCTGTCCTTAGAATGGTATGTTGTATTCTGAAAAACTGCCCCGTAATAAGAAACAAATTAACAATATTCTCTGTATGCCAGTTTTGGCAAGAAGAACATGCGGGAGGGGAGCATTGTAGACTGTCTGGCTCTCTGAAGGCAGAAAAGGTGTCTTCTTCTCAGCATATTCTTTTCTGTTTATTCAAGTACAAGTTCAGGACAATGCAACGTGATCACTATCTTCACTACCACCATCACCATCATCATCACCATTTTTTTATTTTACTCACCTGTACTTGAAATCAGCCCCAAATTATAATGACAATGTCCTAACATTTCTTACTTATTATTACTTTTACCTATTTCCCTCTTAGTGCACACAGGAATTCATCAACCATTCTAAGGTCAGGCTGAATATATATTTTGTTTTGTTTCCACTGATATACACAGTGTCTCTGGAGAATTTGATGTTAACACAATTCTTTATTCACCACAGGAAATATATTGTATGTCCTGGAACACAAAATGTTTACAGTCCATTTTTTCCTTGCAGACAGATCAATGAGCAGAAAACTGGAGGACACGTATATGCATCGTCAAACAACACGAATGAGATTATCTAAGTATGCTGTCTACAACACGTACCACCACTGTGAACAGTGCCATCAATATATGGGCTTCAATCCTAGGTATCAGGTAAGCCAGGCCTGGATCCAAGCAAATTTATAAATAAAGCTTTTCTTATAGGTATATTACCTGTACCGGTAATACTTGTCCACACGTTGCATATTTGTCCTTTAAGCATTTCCATAGAGAAGCAGGGTATACATTTGGACTCTCGTATTGCAATTGGACCTTGGGATCTGCACTGAATCCCAGTAAAATCAATGGGGACATGAACAGGTGCAGGAGTCTGACTGCATGGATCAGATTGCAGGTTTTGGCCTTGTGTCTAGCTATCATGAAGATCAGAAAATTTGCCTAATTATTGATTTGGGTAGCAGTGTTCTAGCTTGTTGCCCAGTGGAAAGTGGGGAAGGAAAAATTAGCGATGTAGACTAAGGCTATTGAATACCAAATGACATCCATGAAAGAAAAGGGTGGCCCTCAAGTCTTGCTACCATCAGAGGGACAAAGAATGAATCAGTGGTGTCAAGCCAGGGGATCAGGATAACCTTTTTCATGCAGCCAAATGACTCTCCCTAACACCAACAGGTGTTGCCATGAGGTACCTGTTGCCGTGGGGTACAATGTACCTCAGCACGTGGTTCCTGCCTGGTTTGGTGCTATGTTAGGATTCTCTTTGGAAACAAAATTAGACTTTGGCTATTACTATTAACACTGACTATTTGCTTATTAACATAGTTCTTTTTTCCTTTTGCAGCTTTATGAGTCCACTCTACATGCCTTTGCCTTTTCCTATTCCATGCTTGGAGAGGAGATCCAGCTGCATTTTATCATCCCCAAGTCAAAGGAGCACCATTTTGTCTTTAGTCAGCCAGGAAGGCAGCTAGAAAGCATGAGGTTGCCGCTTGTCACAGATAAGGTAGGCACATAGTTAAATTTTCAGTCACATATGGTCAGAGCAGAGGCAAAGCAAGATATTTCACTGCTAAGGGCAGAGGTTGGGTTAGGGGTATTTTTTCTGACCACTTGAGAGCATGTGTGTGGGGAGGAGGAGAGGTTAGGGGAGAGGAAAGCTCCTTATAGCTGGGCTGTAGTGGTCATGGAAAAGATGCCAGTAGCAGGGACGGGCCATACCAGAACCCCCTTTAAATCAGTCTGTGGTTGGTGCTGCCCTTGCCCACCCTAGTTATACTACAGAGTCAGAGGATGAGTTGATCTTACTGTTTTGTTGGTTAGATTATCCTTTGCCTCCATGTCTGATCCTGCTGTTGAGAAATGGTGAGGGTGGCTTGGCAATGAGCTGCTTCCTCCCTTTCCAGCACCCTGTCTACACAGGAAGCCATGAGGCAGAACTCTTTGGGATGCAGAGCCTTGACCAGTTGTTTTTATGTAATCAAGGCTAGACGGGGGCATACTCTGCCAGCTGGGGCATAAACTTTCTTGGTTCTAGGTTAAGATACTGAAAGATGGGAGTGGTCTCAGCATTGAGCATCAAGCATATGTATTTATGTGGAGTAAGTGGCTACCCAAAATGAAGCAATTTATTACTGGTCAGAAGATGGACTGCGTTCCTGCCCTTTTCTGCACAAGTGGTCACCCCAGTTCACATAAAGAGGGGCTATGAGATAATCTCTATGGTGACTTAAAGGCTATGTTAACCATCTCTTAGTATGTTTAGAGAAAATAGCTGCTGAGGTCATCAGTCTGAGTATGCTAGCCAAGCTCTAATGTTGGCTTTACAATAACCCTTAAATCTATGAACAGTTTCTGTCCAGGACACTCTCTTTAGGCTACTGGAGCATTCTTTGCTTCAAGTCTAGTACATCGGAGAGTGGTTTTGGGTTTGTTTGTTTTTTTGTAGATATCTTTGGCCAGGTACAGACATTACACTTTTACTGCTTTAAGTGTTTGGAAACCTATCTATACTTGTAACAGAACAGAAGTTTGGCACACAAAACTTGTTGGTACCTATAACAGAACAGAAGTTCAACACACATAGGGTGCATCTGCATATTCAATTTATTCAAAGCAATAAACTCTGGTGTGTATTGCACCAGAGTTTATTGCTTCTGGGCACTGCGTTTGAATGTGTGCCCAGGTCTGCAGCATGTTGAGCTGGGTCAGAGCGGCCCTGGCTGACAGAGGGTCTGTGAGGGGTCAGCCTGTCAGCTCAGGGCTGCTGCAACCCAGCTCATCATGCTACAGAATGGCTGGCTGGGACATGAAGGTGCTCCAGTGTAGGGCTAGCCGGCAGGCACCCACTGAAGCACCCTTGTGCCCCACCCAGCCCTGTCAGTGTCTATATGTGCACTGCTGTGCACTAAAAAACTCTGCTGCAGGATATTGCTAGCATTTAGAAGTACTAACCTACAGCAGAGTTTATTAGTTTACTAAACCGTAAATAGGGTGAATGTGTAACCACTGAGAGGATTACTGTGGAGCTAATCGGGCAGCTCTGCAGTAAATGTCTCATAGTCTCGGGACAGACATTCAAAAAGCCTGAGCCTGGATTGATTCAATCTTTGCAGGTTAATTTCATCTGTCTAGGTTGAACTGGTTTGCAACTGTACAGACATTTCCTCTGGACTGAAGAAATGCAGGCACATGCCTGCCGTGGCTCAGGGTAGAAGCCGGGGCCCTGGCAGAACGCTGTGATTAGGAAGGTGTGTAAACCCCCACCTTGCCTACACCATCTCAGGCTTTTCCTTGCTCACTGCTCAAGGGGTGGGAGTGTTGCCATCCCCTCAGGTACCACTCTGAGGCAAAGGTGGGGGGGTGGG